ACAGCATAGGCAACCACTCAGTCCTAAGAAAGAAAAATACAAAAATAATCCAGATGATGAAGAATGTTATTCCCACTGGTTACTGCCCACCAGTCCATTGGGTTCTTTGGATCGTCAACTTCAATGGATCTCCTTGGTGAGATTCCACCTTCCACTCCTTTGGGGCTGGCACGGGCCCTTTCACTTGGGGTTTAACTTCCTTCCAGCTCCGGATCAACACCCAATCATCGTGGTTGAATTTGTGGACTGGAAACTTCAAAGGTGGTGTTTGGGCTAATAGTCCTTGTTTCCTAAGAACTTCAAAATATCTGGACAGTTTATACACATATTGTTTCAATACTTTGTCTCTGTTTTCCAGGGAATCAATGCATATACTTCCTGTAGTGAAAACTACTCCAAACAACAGTTCATAGGATGATATTCTTTCTAGGTTGGGTCTAATAAAACTTCTTGACACCACTGTTGCTGTAGCATTACTGCAGGAAAAAGCTTCAACCCACCCTGTGAGGTGGTCCACTATGACCAATATTTTACTCTCCCCACTTTTGGTAATTCTGTAAAATCCACTTGAATACATTGAAATGGTCTTAAAGCTGGTGGTCTCCCACCCATCTGTTGTTTCCTGACAGCTTGTTCATTCACCTTTTTACAAATCAAACATTTGTTTATAATTGATTTTGCTAAAGGATATATCCCAATACAACCATAGCATTTTAAAAGTTCATCTACAATAGCTTGAATTCCAACCATATTTTGCCAAATGTCTGCACTCTCCCAAATGCATACTTGGAATCTGCCTATCTTTCCTTTCAAGATGCATAGAGCACCCCCCTTTTTTAAAAAAAATTGATTTATATGCCGCCCTTCTCCAGAGACTCAGGGTTATAATGCGTTAAGCAATAGCCTTCATACTTTTGTATATTTTACAAAGTCAGCTTATTGCCCCCACAAACTGGGTCCTCAATTTACCTACCTTAGAAAGGATGGAAAGCTGAGTCAACCTTGAGCCTGGTGAGATTCGAACTTACTAATCACAGACAGCTGGAGTTAAATTACAATGCATTTGTCTACTGATCTATCCAGGCTCCCTATCCATAGAGCTTAATTTAGTGCATACAATTCAAAGGTTTGAGCAGACCAATTTCGAGGCAAACCTCTTGTTTCCAGGATCTCTTTAGTGTGTCCTTTTATAATAGCATATCCGTTTTTCCGTACTCTCTCCTCTACCCTAGAGGAACCATCTATAAAAAATGCTTCTCCTTTCTCCAGGGGGTGTTCCTCCAAATCAGATCTTATTTTTGTTTGTCAATCAATTACTTCAGCACAATAATGTCCTAATCCAAACTGATCCATTGATCTGGTGTTGGCTAAGCTTGATTCAAATTGTGATCTGTAATTAAAATCAAGTCTGTCTGCTGCATTAAAATTGTTTCATTTTTGTTTAGAATTCTGGAATCAGTTAACCACCGCCCCGCTTTTTGCTGAAGGATGGTCCTGACTTGATGTGGGGTGCTTACAATAAGGGCTCCCCCATAGGTCAATTTCCTACTTTCTGAGCCAACACCCCTTGTGCAATTCAATTTTCTGTGTTTCGTGTCCCTCCCATTTTAACTCCAAGATCCAGATTCAATTAATTTTGCATACAGGGGTTTGGTAAAATCAGCATACCCATAAATCCAGAGTCTGCAATATCCAACCAAACTTAAGAATTACCTTAATTCTTGCTTGTTTATAGATAAGAGGCTGAGACGCCACCCCTTCTATTCTCTCTGGAGTGATTTTCCTATTCCCTTCACTAATTAAGTGTATTCTAATGCTTTGTCCACTTAATCTGATCACTGTCAATTAAAAACACCACTTCCTTTTCCCATTATCACTTGGTTCCACCCTCACATTCCTTTCTTCCTTCCCCGTCCAAAGGTTATGCAATCCACAACATCCATAACCTTCCAAAAACAAATCACATATCTTCTCCCTTCCATCAATTCTACTTTCTCTAACTCCTTCTTCTTATAAAACATTCAATTCCTCCTACCACTGCTATCCTGACTTCCAAGTCAGCACAAGTCTGTGCAGACCAACTTAAAGGCAACTTTCTGGCTTCCACTAAAACTTCCTCTCTCCCTTCTACTATTGTAACCCATCTTTGTACCAATTTCTAAAAGGGCAACAACTTATGCTGCTAACAAACAAACAAACAAGCAAACAAACAAATGTGAAATATATTTGGATCAAACTTTAGCATCAATTCTCTGCCTTTAGTAAAATGCAAGTCAGATTCCAAAAAAAATCTTACAAAATCATTTCTTTTATTTAGGTTTAATTAAGTGTTTTAAACCTCAAAAATTTCCAGAAAAAAATAAAATCAAAATTGTATCCAGAGCAGAAAAGAAAATATATCTGTATAGCTTTTATATGCAAATTAAGACCAAAACAGCCGCATGAGCCGATCACCCATGTCCCCCTCCTTTCTCAGGCTGATTCAGCAGAGAGGAAAAAAAAAGGTGAAAAGAACAAAAGCCCGCAGCCCACCCTTTTCCTGCTTCTCTCCTCCAAAGGAAGGGGGGGTCCGGAATATAGGGAAGAGGAAAAAAAAATGTTTTAAAGCAAGCAGACAAGCCTCACTCCCCCCTTCACTCAGCATTCTTTCAACAAAGCAACACTTTCTGCATTTCTCTCTAGTCTCCCACATCCTCAACACACAGGCATTCACAGGGCTCAAGATCACTTCACTTTATCATTCCTTATGAGCTTCGGGACACCTCACACACACACATTCACATTTGTACTGCAATCAGACTTTTTGTATAAACCAATTTCACATACAAAAATTTCATTTAATGCTTCCTCCATGCAAACCAAATTATTTCAGGGAGCTTTTTCACAAGCCACTATTATTAGAGGATTTCATCTTCCCTGCAGGTTTGGAAATTATTATATACATACACATGCACACATATCATCAAACATTTCCAGACCTGTGGAGGTTTTTTGTTTTGTTTTGTTTTTAATTTTATTTCCTTGGGCAACCTATAGCTTATTCTTAAAGGAGTGGGAAAACTCAGAGAGCAGTTTTAATCACAAATGTGATTTTGGGCCCGAACCACAGCCTGTTTCCCACAGCTTCAAGCACAAGTTTACTTAATTTGCTGCCGGCCAAACATATCACAATCAGTTCCATCCCATTCAATTTTACACACTATCATTATAGATGCACATCCAGGATTTTTTTTTTTTTTATAACAGAAATCACACCAAATTGATCAAGTCAAATTATCTGAGTCTTCCCATTTAGACAGGCTTTACCTTTTTACTACCTGCTAAACCCTGGGTGGGAAGAACAGTAAACAATTTCTTCTTTATTCTTAGTTCTTTCAGAGTTCTCTGGCTTTTTAAGAATGGTAATTTATCAGAATGTTTATAACACTGCAATTAGTTCTTTTCTCTTACCACACATAAGATCACACACATATTTTTTTTAACTTTTATTGCATAAGGTTTTCTTTCTCCCCTCTCTTTAGATTTCATCAAACAGACCCTAGCAAACTCTGCCTGATACTTGATTAATCAAGGGGGTCTCTCTTTTAGTCTTCCACTGATCAATACTACTACCACCCATCCTAACAACACTACCCTTGGCTCACGACGCTGGACGTTCCGACAGTCGTCAATGAGAACCGCAAGGGTTTAACCACCCACACAATCCCAACAGAGAGACTTGAACTCTCAACAGGAGACTTGAGGACGATGCCTTGTCTCCTAGGGGGGGTGATCAGGCCCCTCTTCACCACTAAATTGGTGGGTATTTGTTAACAGAGAGACTTGAACTCCCTGGCTTATACTTACCTGCAGGCGTTTTCCTTCCCTCTTGGACTTTTTTCTTTTTTGTTGTTGAGGTCTCTGTGTCTGGCTGACCTGTGGATCCTTGACTAGTCTGCTCGCCAGCGGGTTCACGGCAACCCCTCACTGAAAGATTCCGTAGACTTCAATGGAGTCTTTGTGGCCGGCCAGTGAACTTTCCTTGGGGAAGCGTCGGTTCCCGCTGGGGCAGCCCGTCAGGCAGAACAAAAGGTCTTTGTTCCTTAGTCCCATCTGCCAGGGTGCCATAAATGTTGTAGAATGAAGAGACCAAACAACATTCCTGGGTCAGCCAGAGACAGTTTTTATTGCGCAAGGTTCAGAGGCAGATTGGTTCTTGCTATCTGAACAAAGGAAAGAGATACCCCTAATACCCCTGTTTTATACTTTTCCAAGACAAAGGATTTTGCTAGCACAGCAGTTTTCCATATATGGTTAACATACATCTGTTACATGATAATTGACATTTCCTAATTACTAAATTCCTGCCCTAATTTATAGTACATGAGATAATTTTAGTTAAACATCCTCCTTAGTTCTGTATCCGCTGATGCATAGATTTATGGCTTCCTTTGATAATAAGTAACTTCTTGTTCCATATGGAGTTCAATAACTATTGAATTAAATAGCAAGTACCTGCGTTTTCCAAAGCTGCCTCTAATGATGCTTAATTTGCTATTCTAACATGCAGATTATATTGAGGCCTGATGTACTTTAGAAATTAGGGAAATTAAAGAAAAATATTTAGATAGGGAACTGAATACTGTAGGCATGCTAACAAGATATGGAAATACTTGAACAGTTAGTTGTTAATAAGGGGAATATAGGTTAGAATGCAACCGTTCAAATTGTCCATCACTTATCTCTGGATAGTATTTTAACTTACTAATTGCATACAACTAGAACTCAATATTAATTCTTTCAAATAAGAAAACAAAATAGTCTTTCTCCTACTCCTAAAGGTGAAGAAATATTAGCCGCCACAATGGATTTCTGGCTCTTGTTTGTTCCTTAAGCACATTTGTAAAAGTTGAAGAACTTCCTTTATAAGTAAGACCTTTTTTAGCACTTTCTAAACTCCAGAGAATAGCCTTTTAAGCACAAAAAGAAAAGATTTTAAATCTCTCAGCTTTAACAACAGGTAATAACAAGAAAAGCAAACTTTATTTTGGACTTGGGCCAATTCCTTTTGGCCACAGCTACTGGGTCCTCTGAGTACAAATCAATTAGATAATTATTCAACAGAGAGGTCAATTAAGTACTCTTCCTTTCTTGCTTCACTGCTCTTCAGTGGATATGAAGCTTTCCCAATGAATTTAAAGTTAGGAAACTCTCATCTTCTTTGGGTATCCTCTGAAAAGGCCTGGTAACACTATAGCAACAGGCAAGGGTGTCTGTTAAGAGAAGTAAAAAAAATATATATCAAGATTTCTATGTCCAAAGGAGTGGAGTTCCCATCCCAAAGTCATGGCCACCATACAGTAGTGTCCTTTTTGTTTTTTTACTTCCTCCAAAGATGGGGCCATTGCAGAAAAATAAGTTTCCTATTCGTCCTGTGATTAGGTGCATCTAAAGATCGGCCCCGAGATACAAATCCCAAATCTGGGATTTTGAACCTTTAATAGAGGAGCAGGTATTGCTTTTAAATTGTTCTGCGTATTGCAGTCAGTGCTGCAACAGCAATCACTGTGCTAAATCTCTTCAGCTCCCGCTGTAACTTTTATCCACTGAACATGTTTATATTTCAGTTTTGTTTGGCAAATATATCATTAACAACTGTACATGTAAGAAATTCATTGTCTGTGTAAACTAATAACTAAAATACTTAGGAGTATCTTCCCATGTAATCTCAGCTATAATGTGGCTCATATGGTTTTAACTTAGTGTGTTTTTATGTGTGAATCCAGCCTGCTTTTTGCTAAGTAAATAAAAATGGTTTAATTATCTTGAGATACTACCCTGCCTTTGACTAACGTTGCTTACTCTGGTGTTCTCTAGATGTAGTTATCCAACATACACTGGCCTGAGGTCATACTGTATTATCTGGAGATTATGAGAAGCATAATGCAGCAAAAATGCAAGACACTGGTTTAGGGAAGATTGGGTTAGGATATTTAGTAATAAAAATTTAGATTGCACTAGGTTGGATGGATATATCAAAACACTCTGGATAAATAGAAACATAATATCCAAACGTCTTGATGAATATTACAGAGATAAATTAAGGTTCACAACTAAGAAGCAGCTAATTTGCACAACAGCAGATCAACTATCAATTGTATCAATACAATTCTTTCAAGTTTTTGCACAGAACTCCACTTTTCCTTTTCTTTGATAACCTGTAATTATATATTCTATCTATCCATGCTGTTACTTTATGAATATACTGGAAATAGTAATAAACAACCTGTGGTCAAAATATGATTATTTGGCATTCCTTTTACAATTCCAAAAAACCTCCAAAGCAACCCCAAAATAGTGGGATCAAAATTACCCCTATTGGAGTGAATCTAGGAATTTTCTTAATCGCTTAAAATAAAACCTTATTCTAAGAACTTGGAAGGAGTGGAGAAGGAATTTAGCAATTATATAAGAATTTGGTAGTTTGCTGCAAATCATTTTTTTCTTTCAGGTCTTTGAAATGAAATAGATACTTTTAAGTACATTAAAATTCCCCATTTTTATTTTTTATTTTTTTATATAATTTTTTTTATTTGTTTAAAAATACAAGACAAAATGAGTAACAACAAAACATACAAAACATGTAAACAAAGAATTCTAATATACATTTTGTCAAAGTTATCACAACTGTAATATATGTTCTTATTTGTGTTTTTGACTCCTCGTTTGGTCTTTCTCTTATATCTATCTTTATAGTTCACTGTTAGCCTGCGTTAGTGATTTCTGTTTCTGTTTTTATAACTCCAATTACTCCCTAGGCTTTTTCCCTTTTCTATTTTCCAACCAAGTGTACCACTTTTCCCCATTTTTAAAACTATAAAGTAATGGTCTTTTTATTCTGGTTCTTCAAAAGCTCACCCCCAAATCAGAAAATGTATTAATACCTTGTAACTTTCATGTTTCTGTTTCCTATTAAAATCAGCTATAGGAGGGATTTAGATCAGACAGTCTGTACTAGATATTTTTAACAGTTAAATTTTAAGAAATTTTGCTCCTCCAAAACTAAATAAATGCATGTACCTTTCGACATTAAAATGAATTTACTTTGGAAAACTATTCTTATTCAAGAGCGCCCTCTAGGGAATTATGATGTAATTGTGACTTGTATTTGTACTTTACTATCAGTCTATATTTCTAGATTACCCCTAACCCTTGATAAATGTTTTTTAAATGGTGGTTTCCAACAGAATCCTAAATGGAATTGGGAAGGAATAAAGTGGCAGAATAATGTATTCTCCTAATCCTGTTAGTTCATGTTAAATTGGTAAACTTTTATTTTCACCTTGCCAATTGAGACACTAGGAAAATTAGCTACTGTATGTCAGGATCTGTCATTTTACTTGGAAAAGACAAACATAGAACAAGGTGATAGGTTCAGTCTAGCATTCACCATGCCTTATTTATGTATACATTGCTGGTAGACTATGACTCAGAAACCAAGTAAGTTAAAAGAAACTATGACTTTTTAACCTAATTGGTTAAAAAATTTGGCTTGCCTTCAGAAGATGTGGGTGCTCCATCACTGGAGGCTTTTAAGAAGAAATGGACAGCCACTTGTCTGAAAGGATATAGGGTCTCTTCCTTGAGCATGGACTAGAAGACCTCCAAGGTCCTTTCCACTATTATTCTATTATTCTGTATTCTGAGTTAATGAATGCTGAATTTAGATTCCAGAACAATAACGTTTTACTTGGCTAGAGTATTCTCCCATTTATTGTATAGAATTGCAATATAGAATGCTATACTCACATAGAATTGCACTGCAATTTTGTCTTTTTAGAAATAGTTCAGTCTAATTTATTTCAGATTACAGGTCTGAAAAGAGAAGCTGGAATCCTAAAAATAAAGCTTATTAGTGGAATCTTCCTTCTACTTCTTTAAAAAAAAATCTATCCAATAGGATTAAGTGCCCTGTACCTTGTATTCAGGGGTGAAATCCAGTAGGTTCTGATAGGTTCTGGAGAACTGGTAGTAGAAATTTTGGGCAATTCGGAGAACCAGTATCAGAAATTTTGAGTAGTTCGGAGAACCGGCAAATACCACCTCTGGCTGGCCCCAGAGTGGGGCAGGAATGGAGATTTTGCCACGCCCACAGAACCGGTAGTAAGAAAATTTGGATTTCACCACTGCCTGTATTGGGTGATGCATCATAAACTGGATAGTGATGCTAGAAAAGCAACTTCATTCATTAGAGGTATCTTGAGAATCCCTCTACATTCTAAGGTATAGTCAGGTAGGCAAAATGTAAATTCGTGTATATTGGACATAGAAGGTCAAACCAATTTTGCTTCTTTATCCAAATACCATTTTTAAGCAGCTCTGCTCTTAATATGAAACCACAGAGCTTTCTGAAACATATGTCTAATTTCATATTTTTTTTATTCCAGATCATTCTGATACTGTGATGTCCTGAAAGGAAAACATAAAAGAATCCTTTATAAAGACCAATTAAACCCTTGTGGGTCATACACAGTGGAATCCTCAAGTCTTAAGTTGTTATATTGTACAATAAATATTGTATAAAGATATTAGAAATAGGCATATTATACTCTTTTTATTAGACTTTCCAGGGGCACAGATTGTTTCTATGTTTAACTATTGCTGCAGGATCAGTAAGATTCAATCTTTGGCACTGGCCAAACTCTGTTACATTGCTTTCAAGATCAGAAGTCATTTTTATCCAGCAACATAAGTACACTATTCCTGGAAAAGAATTTTAGTTATGTTATTTTTCTCTATTTTTTATATTACGCTTCACTTGGAAGGTACATTTTTCTTGGTCTATGATCATAAATTGAATAAACAAACATGGTGATTGCTAAAATGGGCTGTGATTTTCTAAAAATTATTGGAAATGCAATGACTAGGTTTTTCCATATTTGGTGGGAAAAGTGTAATGCTCAACAACTTTGGAAAATAAGTTAACAGAATGAAATGCATTTTAAAAATCTAATTTCATTTCCCATCTGTTTTTCTACTATTTTACTAAATCTTACATTCCCACAAAGTATATCGAATTAGTTCTGTAGATGGTAACAGGTGCAAGGATATCTTACACTTCCTATTGGAAAGTATAGTTCTTTCTCCAGAAAAATGTCAAAGTTCTGTCACTGTGCTTTGATGTCCAACAACTTTGAATTTAAAAGTAAACATGACATAAAATTTAATTCAACTTGAAAACAAATTTTTGATTATAACTCTGTATGTTCCTTGATCTCTCCTTAGCTTTCAATACCATCAAAGAGAGAATTTGATTGGGCTGGCTTAAGGAACTGGGATGGCAGATACCGTTTTGTGTAGTTCTTTATTTGTGGTCGGTTTCAATCAGCGTTGAGAGGGGGAGAGAGGTCATGTCCGCAGCTGGTCACTTGTACAATAAGGTGCTGCAGGGCTGGATTCTCTCTCCACTTTTCTCTCTCCTATCTATATGTAACCATTGGGTGAGAAGATGCAATCTCGGGGAAAGACTAAGTGAGCCATCAAAGTCCCAGCAATGCCAGAAGGCCTGAGGAAGAGAGCAGTGGTGAAATTCAAAGTTTTTTTTACTACCGGTTCTGTGAGCGTGGCTTAATGGGTGTGGCTTGGTGGGTGTGGCAGGGGAAGGATACTGCAAAATCTCCATTCTCACCACATTCTGGGACCAGCCAGAGGTGGTATTTGCCAGTTCTCCGAAATACTCAACATTTCTGCTACTGGTTCTCCGAACTACTCAAAATTTCCGCTACCAGTTCTTCAGAACCTGTCAGAACCTGCTGGATTTCATCTCTGGAACAGAGGCTCAATCCTGACAACATCAAGTGGATTTCTTTCTTTGATCCTTCTGGCCCTGGCATGATAAAAATCAGAAAATATCAAAATAACCAAAATACATAAGAGATCAAAACAAGCGTGCAAAACCAGCATCTAAGAGCTGTGGTGGCACAGTGGTTAGAATGCAGTACTGCAGCTACTTCTGCTGCCTGCAATTTGGCAGTTCGAGTCTCACTGGCTCAAGGTTGACTCAGCCTTCCAAGGTCGGTAAAATGAGAACCCAGATAGTTGGGTGCAATATGCTGACTCTGTAAATCGCTTAGAGAGGGCTGTAAAAGCACTGTGAAGCGGTATAGAAGTCTAAGTGCTAGTGCTATCAACACTTAATTGAGGCTGGCAATACTAAAATTCAACTTTATCCCGAAACTCATCTATCACCCTGGTCTAGTTAGCGCACGCGCGCGTTTGGGTGTGTGCGCGCGCGCGAGCGACTGGAAGGCAACGGAATTGGCGCCATCCGAACCTTGGAGGGGGGTGGAGGCAGCCATTCCCACCATTCCCTGGTTCTATAACGGCTGGTACTTCCGGCTAACCGGAGAACAGGAAAAGCCGGCTTGCTTCGTAACCACTGTCACCTAGCAACACTTGTTTCCACCCACCCGTTCCCGCCGCCCATCCCTCCTCGCAGGACCAATAGTACCTTAGGCCACGCCCACCCCTTTGTCTCATTTCCGCCCATTCCTTTCTACAACACCGCCTAACTCTCCTCAGCGAACACCACGTCTACAAATGATCCCTCCCGGAAGTTCTTCGCTCTCGTCTTTAAGCTAGAATCCGTTCACTTCCGGATCACCTCTTCCGTTTTTCGCCCTCCCCTTTCTCGTACGGCCACGCCGCAGGTGAAAGCCGGCGCGTCTTGAGCTACCTGGCAGGTAAGGGTGTTTTCCCCTCCACCCGCTTCAAGGAGCCCCTTCCTTCCCGATTGCGTGGACGGGGCTGGCGATCTGACCCTTCTCGCCTCGGCGCTCATTTTGCTCATTTCTTCTTCCACCTCAGCTTCGCCTTCCGTGCTTGTAGTTCGAGCCCCGGTCTCGGAGATGTCGCTGCGGCGCTGGCAAGGCCCTGGTGCCTCCGCAGGCTGGTTGGCGGCGGGGCTGTTGCTGTTGCTGCAGCTCAGCGGGTCGGTGCGCGCCTCGGAGATCACCTTCGAATTGCCCGATAACGCCAAGCAGTGCTTCTATGAGGAGATCGTGCAGGGCACCAAGTGTACCCTGGAATTTCAGGTAAGGAGATCACCGTCCCTTTCGCGGCGCCACATAGGCAGGTGGACGCCCCTCCACACGCAGGACAATCCTCCTTACGCTTCTGCACGGTTTCAGTTGGTTGGGCAGGAAATGGGGTTGGAAGCGGCCCCTTTAATAGTGTGTGTGGCCAAACAGGACTGAAAAGGCGGCGGGAGAAGAGGATTGTCTGGAAACCGTAGCAGAAAATACTGCAAAGACCCACTTAAGGATTGCGAGTGCCACGTTCAGACACGCCGCATTGATAACTCTCACCTAACTGGCCTTCCTTTTAGTACAGATATTCGTCTTCTTGCCCCCCAGGCTTCTGATCTGTCCTATGTGTCATGGACCTTTTAGTTTTGAGCATTATTATTATTATTATTATTATTATTATTATTATTATTATTATTATTTGGATTTATATGCCGCCCTCTCTCCAAGGACTCAGGGCGCCTCACATCAAACGAAACAATCCCAATAAATACAAATTAAAACAGACTAAAAACCAATTTAAAGCAGTAGACCCCATCAGTCCTCACTAGGGCGTTTAAACAGCCAGGTCTTAAGCTTACGGCGGAAGGTATGTGCAAAATATATATTATTATATTGTAATAATAAGTCTAAGTGCAATTACTAGTGCTATTGTATACCTGTACTGGGTGTGGTTTTAAACACACACAAAACTATTCCTGCTGTTTTGCTAGTGTTATCTTGGTAGTTGTATGTGGAGCTGCCACCTATTGCTTGCAGCAGTATGGTGAAACTGGTGACCGGTTTATGGGCATAATTGGCATTATGGACATTAGTTTATTTTTTTCAAACCATCAGGCATAGGCTGTTGTTAAATGCCTGTTTTGTGCAATGTGTGAAAGTGAAATTGTATGGTTTACACTTAAAAGGAGAAAATGAAAATAAATTGGCTGTATAAACTCAAATTTGCATTGTATGTACAATATGTACCATCAGTACATAGAAGATGCATATATCAGCAGCAACAAGTTCATTCTGAAAATGAATAAGGCAGTTCTGCCAACAGCACTTTTTGTGTGCGATCAAATCAACATCTCCATTGAAAGCAAGGTTCCGTGTACATTCCTATTTTAAAAAAATAGATTAAAAGCTCTATAGACAAATGTATTATATGATTATCTTTCTAGAATATGAAATGGAGTTGTGCTGTATGGAGATTAAAAGGCATGGACCATATGCTGTCTAAAATATGAAGAATATATTTATTTGCTATACAACTTGAATGATGATTCATCTCATTGTTCAACAGAAACAGAGGAAGTACTATTTTTATGTAATCAGTTTGGCTTCACTGATCTTAAGAAACTATATAACAGCGTCCGATTTAGCAACATTATCTTATCTTGCTGTCTACTTCCTCATTTTCTACTCAGTGAGATGTTGAATGCTATTCCCAACTATGCTGCCATCTTTTAGTCCTAGTATCAGGACCAAATATTATGAGAGTTATTGTCATTTAACAGAATGACTTCAGATAATGTTTTATATTAACAAGATTTAGGAAAACAAATTGAAATAGTAAATATTTGAAAACCGACTCCATGGAGTAAGATGTTTAACAGATTTTGGTACAAAGGAGTGATGATAAAAATAAACTGTAATTTTATCTATAGCATTAGCTGCAATCTCAGGAAACCATATTTTTAGGACTCAAGATACTGAACATCACCTAAGACAAATTCCTTGTGTGTCCAATCACACTTGGCCAATAAAGAATTCTATTCTATTCTATTCTATTCTATTCTATTCTATTCTATTCTATTCTATTCTATTCTATTCTATTCTATTCTATTCCTACATAAACTGAATATAAGCGTACATTCATTATTTTACCAAATATATTACCATAAAAATTACTAGGTATATATTGAAAAACAAGTTTTTAACTATAATTAGTTAAAAGACTTAGTGTCTTATGACTAGGTGCTTTTCAGTCCTGCATTTCTCAACCTATTATGGTATTCGGGTAGACAGTTGGCTGGTATTCTTGGTGATACCTACATGTGGGAATTCAGGATAATATTTTGACTAGATATCATTTATTTTATTGTTAATTGACTCTTTATGCAGAGAACAACATTTCCTCCAGTAGAATACTAGGAATAAAATGCTTACCAATAATGCTGGCTGTGCTTCCCATATTTCTATCTGAAATTGGATGATCCCTTTTTTTGGGAGCCTCCCTAACATTGATCCTCTTGCCATTACATTATTTTTTATGGGAACTGTGCTATTACTTGATATTAAGTTTCTTATTAGGAAATTTTATCTGAAATTCTGATACAAGAGATTTATAAGGATTTTGAGAATAGAATTAATTTTCTTTTATTACTTTCCCAAAATACTGACCACAATGTTTCCTATGTTATTATGGCAGAGATTCATTGATCTAATGTTTATCCTTGCTTTTATACATGAATAATATTTCTTTGTTGGTGTTTATATTCATTTATTGCATGTTAAAGTGCATTTTCTCTTAACTAGGTAAGTAGAAAAATGTTCCGCCTATCTGTCTGCCATAAAATAAAACTTAATGGCATTATTAAAATTAAAACATCAAATATATAAAATTACAATCTCAATTGTATACGACTATTTAACTACTTCAAAAAGTGAAACATGGAGAGTTTCATATTTGGAAAGTTTCATATTTGTAATTCTGCTACTGAAAAAGACTTGCATGCGCCCATCTACCTAGAATATGAATCTTAGTGCAGCTCAGAGAAGGGGAGTACCACAGGGAAGAAGAAATTCTGTTGCAAATAAATTGGCTAGGACTTGGTAAGAAAAAATAACCTTCATTAGACACAGCATTCTTAATAGGAAAGGAATACCAACTGACTGTTTCAGAGAAGGACCATGAAACCAAGAATGAGTGAATAGAATGGAACGTCATGATTATGAGCAATTTGTATCTACAGCTCTATCCTGAAATCCAAACTGCAGTAATCTAACAGGCACTCTTACTTGCAGGATTTCCAGAAATGCTAGCTACTGTTTCTGGTGTCTAAATTTCAGACTTTGTAACACTGGTGCTACTTGTTCAGCTCTCAGCAGTAGGTAATGAATATTGACATAGATTCTCTTGGTTTCAGCATGGATTATTTGTGAATAGCTTATTTAGAATAGAATGAATTGTATTCATTCATCCAAGTATACTTAAGATGAAGAAAATACTTAATGAACATAATCTATTTTTTAAAAACCTTGTCCAATATATTTTGAACTTGATATAAAACATTACTCCACAACACTTTAATCTCAATCTTCAGTGTTACCAGAGTATTGTTACAAACTACAATGGCATGGATTTTGTTTCTATTTCATGGAGTTGTAGTAAATCTTCTCATAATTGATATGGAGATAACCTTGTCTGTTTTTACCTCCAGCTGCTGATCCCTTTACTCTTAATTATTTCGTAGGCCTAGTGACTTTTCGTATCATATTTTTAAAGGTTAATGAATTCTAGTGAAATAGCAAAAGTTGCCCTATTTTTTCATAACAATAGCTCCTTACTAAGCCAAAAGCTTTCCAAAAATGGAAAGGAACCCTCTATTCATGTAAGTTTATCTTTTGGTAAGGTCTGTTGATTATACATAGAGATTGTGTTTGTATAAGTACAAGATGAACAAGCTTCCTCAATTTAGAGAATGAAGAACTTTTTCAGGAGTGCTGCAGGTTTTAACATTCACCTTTTCTTTTGTATTTTTCATTTATTACATGCTGTCAGGTCAGTTTCAATTCTTAGTGACTTCATAGATAGGATTTTTCCAGGATCATCTGTCACCCATTTGGTCTTTCATGTCTTCTAGCAGGTGCTGTAATGGAAACTATACCTTGCTGGTCATCCTCTTCTTTTTTCTTTTGCTAAAATGTAAAGCCTTTGTCAGTCTTTACTAAACACACATCTAGTTTTGGATATTACATAGGATTTTATTTATAGTACTAAGAAGTTCAAAAATGTGGCTTTAATGGTTTTAATAACTGTTACACAATTGGAAGAGAGTTATCCTTAAGTGATGTGTTTTTATGTTAACTTGATAACTTTTATGGTTATTTTTCAATTATTATTTGGTCCAAACAGTTACTACAAGGTGCAAAAATATGTGAAATGCAACAACATGTTTTAAGTTGCCTTTGACTTAGGTGTGATTGCAGTATATTTAATTTCCCTTGCTGAAGTTTTTAACAATGTGCTGTTTAGTATATTTGCTTTGTAAAGATACTTCTTTAGCTGATAAGAATAATATCAGTGTTCCGAATACCAGTTTTCTTTATTCCACAGGTGATTACTGGAGGACACTATGATGTCGACTGTCGCTTAGAAGATCCAGATGGGATTGTGCTATATAAAGAAATGAAGAAACAGTATGATAGTTTTACCTTTACTGCATCTAGAAATGGAACATACAAGTTTTGTTTCAGCAATGAGTTTTCAACTTTCACACACAAAACAGTATACTTTGACTTCCAAGTTGGAGATGACCCACCTCTCTTTCCTAGTGAAAACAGAGTCACTGCACTCACTCAGGTATGATGAATTCTGAATACACAGTAATGTGCTGTCTTCATCCTAAAATATACTAGAACCAGTTTATAGAACTTCAGAAATTTTATTTTGTCTAATAGCATGACCATATGGCCAGTTAATTAAGTGACATTCTCCTGATATGGCATTTGTCATCTTTTCATTTACAGAAGTAAATGTTTGTGTATTAATATTGTAAATTGCAACTTGATATTGCTTGAGTAGTTTGTAAAGACCTCTGAATTTTAAATTCCATTACAATAAACAATTTGGGTTTTTTTCCAATTTGCAAACATGAAA